GGGGTGTCCATGACCTATTGTCCCTTTAAATACATCATTAGTCTTCCGTATAGACTTTGTCTGAATAGAAATTGAATAAATATAGAATACGTTACCAAATTAAAGTTTAACAAACCAGAGAGTCCCGTTAACACTCAATACAGCCGCAATAGAAAATTTATAACATTTACAACCACATGAGTAAAATTATATAAGGGAATACAATTCCCATTTGTTTAAAAGACTAATTTGATACAAGCACTTTATAATTTATTTATTTAAAAATAATAACATAGTTAAAAAACTTCACTTGTATACATAAATAAAAAATCGAGAAAAAAAATGCGGGAATTTGGGATTAGTTTGAAAATCTTAAACTTAAAGAGTATAATTTACTTATTCCTTGGTTTCCTTAGTGGCATTAAGTTCATTATATCTCTTATGCCATTCGAGATTTTGTTTAGTAACACTATCGCCACGTTTGGCAGCTGCTTTGCCACTGTAAATCATAAGAGCGCAACCAAGAATGGTTAGGCCCATCATGATATTGGCAATACGAATACGCATTTTGTTGCGGCTACGTTCCATAACTTCGGCACTAGAACAATAACAAAAATGTAGGGAGAAAACACAATGATGAATAGGATAGAACATTGGATTGTAGTTAGTCAAGCAGTTTAGGGATGATATTGCAGGATACGATTAGAAAATGTTGAATGATAAATACAATGATATTTTTGCGTATATTTGTTTTGTTATGAAGTTAATTTTTTTATAATATTTCAATAATTGAGTGAATTTTTTGCCACCATATATTTTCAGATACAATCACTTTCACGATATGATACCATATATTATTTAATAACAATTGATTATGCCTATCAACACTTTGTATTATTTTTGAATTGATACGTCACATATACAGTACAACAAATACTTGAGATATTAACGAAATTGTTGCCAAATACTTTAAGTGAATAATTTGTTTAAATAATTCCAATCTAAGCTCCACAAATTTCTGTTAAAAAATCCGTATGTTGTCTTTATATATCAGGATTAATATCATGCTAGTTTTCTTTAAACGATCATCTACAATTGCAACAATAACGTGTTGCATGTTAAACATCCGAAAATGTTCGTATTAATAGTGACAACCAGTAGCTCAGAGGATAACAATGTCATGCTACTTTTGATCTCTTCTTTGCGAAGGGTACAAGAAAGGGTTACCCATACGAGAGATGCTCATATCGAGTACTTTCCAAGAACTACCCCTGTCCCGTAGCGTCTGTTTTTTCCCTATGGGTCGTTTATCAGCTCTTTATGTCCCACTCGTGCTGGACCTGGCTCGTGTGGGACACTTGAGGGTTCCTGTCCGTTCTTTAGACCTTATCCTTGAACGTCCGCCTTAATGGTCTGCTCTCAACTATAAGGATGGAACAGTTCTTTCAACTTGACAGCGAGTAAAAAATGAAACCTTTTTGTGCTTCCAAAAATGTCCTATACACGCGACGGTTATTTCGATCCGCGGTACATCGATTGCTACTAAGATCCATGTTAGTTTGTTGTAACCCCTGGCCAAGCTAATCTCCCAGCTACAGGTTATCAACTAAGGAAAGAATTCAATAAAAGGTTTGCACCAAAAAGCAGTGATGTGCCTCTATTCTTCAAACTATGCACCTGAAAAGCTGTACCGACAAAGAATTCTGCTTTAGGAGTTGCGAAAGCATACATCCCAGATGAGTACGAAGGTACTACGAACCAGATTTCGTTGTACACAGCTACAACTCTCCTCGACAACGAAGAAACTGTGAACAAGTCTTCGGTTTCCCAATCTGTACTTCCCGCCCAATCGGGTGTTAATAATCCCACCAGAAATATACCAACAGCCAGAAGGGCCGCCAAGAAAATCCTCAGATGACTTGTTATCTTGAACAGGGCTAAAGTCTATAAATTCGTCATCCAACATATGTCTAAAAGACAACCCTAAATGACAACTGTCGAAGGAGGAGGTTCAAACTCAGACAGGGCCTTTAGGGGGGGTGCTAAAAGGCACCTCGTTCGGGATGTAATAGATAGAGGCGACTCTGACTGTTTCATTTTTCATGGAGGCGCAATCCAGGCATTTGATCGTAACAACTTTCAATGCAACAATGCTAATGGTAGCTTAGTCGGATAAAAACGATAAAAAAACGATCGCTCTATTCGACGGCCTGTGGAATGAGCGAAACTAGTTGAGGTCTCTGTGGACAATCTCCACTTTGGCCTAGGTCTACCTTCTCTGGTTCGACGAGCCTTCGTGATTTCAATATCTCCTCTTGCTCCTTAAGAAATATCCACTAATCCGTCAAAGTTTTTTGTGTAAAAACTGTCGAGATATGATATCTCAAATAGTCGTGTAGAGAAGTAACTAGGAGATTGGTTATCACATCAACAAGTGGAAATTTCAGGCATCTAAACAGGAATAGAAAGGAAATGCAATTTTCCATAAGCCCTAAAACGTTATCCTGGCACTACTTGGAGCATAAACGTTGAGACGATTGATTTCCATCGCAATTACTCAAACCTAATGGACAAGGAGATGCTTACTCTCCTTTCAATCATCCATTGTTTAAGTATCAAGTGGTTATGCACTCACAAAGTGATATAACACAGTATATCTCGTGAACAAGATTGACCTATTGCGTCCATGTAATTAGCCTGGGATTAATCAAAAATACCGCTCTAGAAGGTGTCATTATGAAGTGAAAGATAAACTTCCGAGTTATCGGCGTTATAGGTAGTGCAATTGGTTCGTGCACAGTACATTTTGACTGTACCATAGGACGAGTAATAGAACTCTAGTATTATAAGTTAGTTTCTATTTGAAAATCATCTTTTAGAGCTCTTGTACCCATTTCTTCTACACTTCATCAAGTTATTATATTTCTTCTGTTTGATTTCTGATCCACGTTTCCGAAATAGGACATATTCCTGACATTTCCTTACCATGGGTCTATGCATAAAGGAACTAATTGTGTAAGCTGAAGGACATTTTGTTAGAATCAACTTAAATATTTCAAATGTTTATACCATTCAGATGGATAGATGGTGCAGTATGTTAACTTAAATCATACGATCTACCGAGAACAAATCGCATTAATGTTGTTAATTTCTATTCACACATTAATTATTCTTTTACTTCTTAATTTAAACTACTATTTTTTAAAACATCACTATATGTTTACTCAAAATTAAACTTCAATTAACTTTTAAAATACTACATGTACCGAAAAAAAAAAACAAAATGTTTTTTGAAGTCAAACCCACAAACAACTTTTAAAACAAATATTTTTTTCTATAACATTGTTTTTTTTTTTCTACTAATCAAGGAGAAACTGTAAGTAATTATTTGCTATATATTTTTAAAAATTTAAGATTGATGTGATCATCGCTGCTACATTTAGTGTGATTTGATTTGATTTTTTTCCTCAGCTTATAGCTAGAGGAACAGCATTAGCCGCTAAAACAAGTGCTGAGCGGTAGGTGTTGAGTGCAATACATTATTTAATTGTTATTAATTATTTTTGTATGTATGTTTGCCATTTTGTTTAGTTACTTATTTAGGCAAATATTTAATAGTAATAAAGATTAATTGCTTTAAATTAAAATGGGTATAAATAAAATTACGAAATTTCTAATGTTTCTGTATTAGGAAATTGTTTTCGAGTTATAAAAGTAATTTGAATTGTAGAAAAACTAGCTTTCGTTAAAAATTAAGATAAAATTTCAATTAAAAATATTTTGTTGATAATTATTAGAATCTAACAGTAGAAAGAGATAATTTAAACAATGTTTATTCGTGATTATTTTGTATACACCATTTCTAAGTTTTCAAATAAGAAAAATGTACTGAGCGGAACTAGGACTAAACTAGTACTGACCTGGAACTCAACTAGAACTGAAATAAAACCAAAGAAATACAGCCACGACACTATACTTAGTTCTGTTTCACTTCCCCCTACTATCAATGGATCTATTCGATTCGGCAAAGGCGTTTAATAATCCATAGTATTAGAATTTGAATCCATTTGATTCAATTAAAGATGAAAATTGGATTCTTTGAAATTATCTCTCCATTTCACACTAAATCTGTATAAAAACTAGCATATACAATTAACTGATTAAAATAAATTACTGACTATTTTCTCTTCTACACTGTTCGATCTTCTAATGTATGTACGAAAGCATACATAAGCGGCAGCGGAAGATACGTGTGTATACACACGCGAATTTAAACAAACAAGAAAAAAAATGGCATAAAAACCAACAAACAAATTGGAAGACCCAAAAAATTATAGAATACTGATTGATGATTTGAATGAGTTAATATAATACGCAATAATTTCATCATTATAAATATAATTCATGAATATTATGGAAAATTTTCAAAAGGAACTTACCTCACAAAGTTGGGCACCTCGTGTACGGACTTGAACTTGCCAGTCCATACCAAAAATCTTTTTTCCAAATTGTTAGGTGTATAGCTGTTAACCTGTCCTGGAGCAGAAGATTGGCTCATGGCACGTCTGGCCAAGAGAGAAGGCACCAAAGCAATTTGTTTAAACATCTATAAGCAAACATAACCAAATAGAAAGTAGAAAACAGACATTGCACTATTATTAACTAACTAATAATTAAATAATAAAACTTAAAAACTAAACTTAAAAAAAAATTATTAATTTTTCTTTACCTTTTATGTGTTAATCGTTGGAAAATTATACAACAAATAATCCAAAAACCGCTGTAAATGACATTTAAAAGAAAAAAAACAACACCAACAGCTGATTATCAAACACCTGTGACGAGCAAATAGCACAGTGACGGCTTTAACTCTATATCAACGGCGTTTTTATATAAATGAAAAGACGGTTTTATATATTAAACATTATTCAACGTCGTTGGCTTGCAATTTTTAACGCCGACTAGACTTTTAGCCGTTACAACGTCTAATTTGATGACAATTTTGTTTTAAACATTCACTAATGAATGCTAACACAATATCTTTGAGGTTATGTTGTCTTAAACAAAATGTAAATAAAAACTTTACCTTGTGTTTAAATTATAAGTTACTCAATAAAAATGTTTTCCAATTTATTAAAAACTTTAAATAAATCTTATACTAAAACAATACTACCCTCAAGCAGTAGATATTTATATTCCGGCAAAGATTTAAACCTAAACAGTCTACGGATGAGGAGAAGCTGCTCTCAAAATAGAGGCTAGTCTTTTGATAATTCCTCGGTTAAATATGAACCCACTAAAAAAGAAGAAATATTTAAGAAAACAAAACAAAAACCTCATAAAAGTTTTAATGCCAGCAATATCATAAGCAAACCTCAACAATTTCCAAGTTTTAAAAAATCTCGCACGGAACGTCAGGCGGAATCGAAAGTTATACATGATGAGGAAATGGTTTGGAAATTTTTAAAATTAAGTCTTAATGACCCCCGACTAAGTACACTGCTAATAACGGTGCGTTCTAAGAAAAGGCGTGATAAGGATAGACAAATTATTATCGAAGGTAGACGTTTGATATTGGAAGCCTTAGATTGTGGTCTAAAATTAAACAGCGTTATATTCAGCCAAAAGGATCAGCTGTTGGATATCAAGGATAGTGTGTCACAGGCTCAAAAGCTATTCAATACAAAAATCTATAAAGTGCCTCATCATGATTTAAAAACTTGGTCTACACTAACCACACCACCCGGTATAATGGCGATATTTGAAAGACCTGCTTTACACAGTGTAGTAAGTAAAATGTCTTCGGTTACGATCCTCTACCCATAACTGTGGTATGTGATAATATACGCGAACCCAATAACTTGGGTAGTATTATACGCACCTGCGCCGCTTTACCCTGCCTACAAATTGTCATTACCAAAGGTTGTTGTGATCCTTGGGAATCTAAAGCTTTACGCGGTGGTTGTGGTGGTCATTTCCGTGTACCCATACGTGATGATGTTGATTGGCAAGAGGTTCCACTAATGATTCCACCTGAAGTAGCGGATAATTGTTGTATTTTTGTGGCAGAAAACAATTTAGAGAAGTTGGGCAAATAAAACGGCATCGGTTGTGGAGTATACGGAAGTGGAAAAAAACCGGTTCACATAATGTGGTCATAATAGGGGGAGAAAGTCACGGTGTTAGTGAGGATGCCTACAGGTGAGAACTAGAAATAAGATGAACTAAACTAAAATATAATCTTCTATTCTTTCCAGATTTCTCTCAACTGTTGGGACACGAGGTACATGTCTTAACATACCTTTAGCTCAAGGTATAGACAGTTTAAATGTAGCCTCAGCTTTAACCTTAATTCTCTATGAATTACGAAAAAATATTATTAATTCACAGCAGCAACTGCTGGTTAAAAAAGAACCTGAAACAGTTTAATTTTGTTTGTTAAGTTTTTTTTTTTTAAATAAAAAACCAAATCATAATCTAATGCAAAAATTAGTTTTCTTTTTCTTTAGATTAATTCTTTATTTATGAATTTTTCCATGCAATCAAATTAAAAATTAAGCAAAAAAATCTAAATAGAAATATGAAATTTAAAAGATAGATAGAAAGAAATTATAAACAAAAATAATTAATAATAATAAAAAATAACACAGATTTTTTATGTTAAACTATAAATTATTTTCAACATATTTTTTGTTTGTTTAAAACTTTTCTTCAAATTATGTAGGGTTTAAGTTTTCGTTAATTATTATAATATATAATTATAATAAATAACATAAATACAATTAAAAAATATGTACATATTACATAGTAAAGCAATGGAAATTGGAAATATGTTTTTTATAAATAAAAAATAATAATAATAGGAGTTTATGCCAACAAAAAGCCAAGCTTAAGAAAAAAAAAGGGGTTTACTAGAAAAATTATAATAATAAGGCCTATAAAAAAAATTAAAAAATAAAACAAAAAATGCATTCAAAGCAAAGAAATCTTTAAGGTTACATAAAATATTAATTAGTTTATATTAGTAATAAATTACTAACAAAATTTTTGACTATTGGAAGTTATTATTTGCAAGTGGTTTCATATTGTAGTTAATTCTCGTTAATTACTTAATGTATTATTCATTATGTTTTACATTATATTTCTTTTGCAAAAAAACAAATAAATCTCATTTACAATTTAAAGATTTCATATTTGGTTGTTTGTAGTTAGTTGGTTGGTTGGTTGGTTGCGTATAATTGCAAATACTTGTGAGAATTTACTTTTGTCTTAGCAGTAGTAATAGTAGGTAGTCATTATAGCTTTACTAACTAAGTTCGTCATTCATCATTATGTATGTTGTTTATAATAATGTTTTAGTATTATTTTATCATCAGTTGAGGAGGCTAGAAATTGAAACCACCTTGTGGAGCACCTAAATCCGTATTGAACGCATATTGATTACCATCCACTGAGGGTGCTACTCGTACGTCCTCCTCCTCATTGCCAAAGTATTGTTCGATTATATAGAAGGATTTATTATATATATCACGATTTTCATGTGATTGCAAATATTCGATTTTATCCAAACCTGAAAACAAATATTATCATTAGTTTTGCAGAAGTACAAAAGTCTTTTCCGGACTTACCTGAACATTCCTCAATAGCCATGGCATAGGGGTTTGGTCTTGCAGTGAATTTTTCACCTGCTTTAAGTATATTTTCTAAAGCATTTAATGCCACCTGTACTATATCCGAATCGACGACAGTTAAGAAGTCACACATGGGAGGTATGCAACCAACATGAACCTTAAAAATTCAATTAAAAACAAATGTTAAACAGCATTACAGAATTTTTAATACTAAATCAGTTCTAGTTCAATTCCTCTTCAAGTTCAGTTCTAGTTCTATTTTGTTTTAGTTCAGTTCTAGTTCTATTCTGTTTTAGTTCCGTTTTAGTTCTAGTTCTGTTTTAGTTCTGTTCTAGTTCTAGTTCTGTTCAGTTCTAGTTCAATTCCTCTTCAAGTTCAGTTCTAGTTCTATTCTGTTTTAGTTCAGTTCTAGTTCCATTCTGTTTTAGTTCCGTTTTAGTTCTAGTTCTGTTCTAGTTCTGTTCTAGTTCTGTTCTAGTTCTGTTCTAGTTCTGTTCTAGTTCTGTTCTAGTTCTGTTCTAGTTCTGTTCTAGTTCTGTTCTAATTCTGTTCTAGTTCTGTTCTAGTTCTGTTCTAGTTCTGTTCTAGTTCTGTTCTAGTTCTGTTCTAGCTCTGTTCTAGTTCTGTTCTAGTTCTGTTCTAGTTCTGTTCTAGTTCTGTTCTAGTTCTGTTCTAGTTCTGTTCTAGTTCTGTTCTAGTTCTGTTCTAGTTCTGTTCTAGTTCTGTTATAGTTCTGTTCTAGTTCTGTTCTAGTTCTGTTCTAGTCTGTTCTTGTTTTGTTCTAGTTCTGTTCTAGCTCTGTTGTAGTTCTGTTCTAGTTCTGTTGTAGTTCTGTTCTAGTTCTGTTCTGTTCTATTTCTGTTGTAGTTCTGTTTTAGTTCTGTTCTAGTTCTGTTCTAGTTCTGTTTTAATTCTGTTCTAGTTTAGTTCTAGTTCTGTTCTAATTCCATTAAAGTTCTATTTTAGTTCTGTTCTACTTCAGTCCTAGTTCTGTTCTAGTTCTGTTCTAGGTCTGTTCTAGTTCTGTTCTAGTTCTGTTCTAGTTCTGTTCTAGTTCTGTTCCAGTTCTGTTCTAGTTCTGTTCTAGTTCTGTTCTAGTTCTGTTCTAGTTCTGTTCTAGTCTGTTCTAGTTCTGTTCTAGTTCTGTTCTAGTTCTGTTCTAGTTCTGTTCTAGTTCTGTTCTAGTTCTGTTCTAGTTCTGTTCTAGTTCTGTTCTAGTTCTGTTCTAGTTCTGTTCTAGTTCTGTTCTAGTTCTGTTCTAGTTCTGTTCCTAGTATCTATATCTAGTTTTATTCCAGTTCTCTTTGCAGTCTTTTTCTTTAATTTTATCACCATCTACTTACCAAATATCGTATTTGTTCAGCCGTACCACTACTTGTGGCATTTGTTATGGCCCAGGCGGCCTCTCGTTTCGTTTTAAAATCAGCCGTTTGCATAATATTAATGAGAGTAGGAAAGATATTGGCATCGATGACGGCTTGTATCTGTTGACGATTGCCCGCTGCAATATTTGAGATCGTCCAGCAGGCTTCTTTTTTAATCGTATCCACAGGTGAGGTAAGCAAATAACTAATGCAGGGCAAAGCATTACAATTCAAAATAACTTGAGTTTGTACATCATCGCCGGTAACAATATTGCCTACAGCACGCAAAGCAGCAGTGACTACATTGTGTTGGGGATGCCTAAATAAAACAGAATTAAAACCTTTACCATATGTGTTACAAAATTTAAAGAAAAAACTTACATTAGTAATTCTACTAAACGCCTGCAAACCCCAGCATCTATAACAGCCTGTATTTTGTCATTAGGACCATCGGATAGATAACTAATGGCCCAACATGTATCACTTAATACATCGGTATCTGAGTGATTTAATAGACGCGCCAATATGGGTAGACCGTGAACAATTTTTTGTAAAATCTGCTGGAGGATTTTTACCACGACACAGATTGGACAAGGTCCAAACGGCGTTACGTATCATTGTTAAACGTTCGGTGGTGCTTAAAACACTGTTTGAAAATTTTTGATTGTATTAAACGTTTTTATGTTATAAGCTTTAAAAGGAAATATACTTACTGCAATAGAGGTTGCATTATGCCCGAATTTAGCAAATGATCACGACAGGCTGGCGAATCACCGGCTATATTACCTAAAGCCCAAACAGCTTGTTCCTGTACATCATCATGAGGACTTGAGAGTAATTCAATGAAGATGGGAACTGAACCAGCTTCAATAACAATTTTGGTTTGTTGTGAAGTACCCGAAGCAATTTTGTTAAAGTCCAAGCGGCTTCAAACTAAAATATTTAAAATAATTAAGTTTTAGTACAATTCTTTTCAGTTCGAGTTAAGTTCAGTTCTAGTTCAATTCTAGTTCAGTTTTAGTTCAGTTCTAGTTCAGTTCTAGTTCAGTTCTAGTTCAGTTTCTAGTTCAGTTCTAGTTCAGTTCTATTCAGTTCTAGTTCAGTTCTAGTTCAGTTCTAGTTCAGTTCTAGTTCAGTTCTAGTTCAGTTCTAGTTCAGTTCTAGTTCAGTTCTAGTTCAGTTCTAGTTCATTCTAGTTCAGTTCTAGTTCGTTCTAGTTCAGTTCTAGTTCAGTTCTAGTTCAGTTCTAGTTCAGTTAGTTCTTTCTAGTTCAGTTCTAGTTCAGTTCAGTCTCTAGTTTCAGTTCTAGTTCAGTTCTAGTTCAGTTCTAGTTCAGTTCTAGTTCTATTCAGTTCTAGTTCAGTTCTAGTTCAGTTCTAGTTCAGTTTCTAGTTCAGTTCTAGTTCAGTTCTAGTTCAGTTCTAGTTCATTCTAGTTCAGTTCTAGTTCTAGTTCAGTTCTAGTTCAGTTCTAGTTCAGTTCTAGTTCAGTTCTAGTTCAGTTTCTAGTTCAGTTCTAGTTCAGTTCTAGTTCAGTTCTAGTTCAGTTCTAGTTCAGTTCTAGTTCAGTTCTAGTTCAGTTCTAGTTCAGTTCTAGTTCAGTTCTAGTTCAGTTCTAGTTCAGTTCTAGTTCAGTTCTAGTTCAGTTCTAGTTCAGTTTTTTAGTTCAGTTTAGTTCAGTTCTTTCAGTTCAGTTCAGTTTAGTTCAGTTCTAGTTCAGTTCTAGTTCAGTTCTAGTTCAGTTCTAGTTCAGTTTCTAGTTCAGTTCTAGTTCAGTTCTAGTTCAGTTCTAGTTCTAGTTTCAGTTCTAGTTCTAGTTCAGTTCTAGTTCTAGTTCAGTTCTAGTTCTAGTTCAGTTCTAGTTCAGTTCTAGTTCAGTTCTAGTTCAGTTCTAGTTCAGTTCTAGTTCAGTTCTAGTTCAGTTCTAGTTCAGTTCTAGTTCAGTTCTAGTTCAGTTCAAGTTCTAGTTCAGTTCTAGTTCAGTTTCTAGTTCAGTTCTAGTTCAGTTCTAGTTCAGTTCTAGTTCAGTTCTAGTTCAGTTCTAGTTCAGTTCTAGTTCAGTTCTAGTTCAGTTCTAGTTCAGTTCTAGTTCAGTTCTAGTTCAGTTCTAGTTCAGTTCTAGTTCAGTTCTAGTTCAGTTCTAGTTCAGTTCTAGTTCAGTTCTAGTTCAGTTCTAGTTCAGTTCTAGTTCAGTTCTAGTTCAGTTCTAGTTCAGTTCTAGTTCAGTTCTAGTTCAGTTCTAGTTCAGTTCTAGTTCAGTTCTAGTTCAGTTCTAGTTTCAGTTCTAGTTCAGTTCTAGTTCAGTTCTAGTTCAGTTCTAGTTCAGTTCTAGTTCAGTTCTAGTTCAGTTCTAGTTCAGTTCTAGTTCAGTTCTAGTTCAGTTCGTAGTTCAGTTCTAGTTTCAGTTCTAGTTCAGTTCTAGTTCAGTTCTAGTTCAGTTCTAGTTCAGTTCTAGTTCAGTTCTAGTTCAGTTCTAGTTCAGTTCTAGTTCAGTTCTAGTTCAGTTTCTAGTTCAGTTCTAGTTCAGTTCTAGTTCAGTTCTAGTTCAGTTCTAGTTCAGTTCTAGTTCAGTTCTAGTTCAGTTCTAGTTCAGTTCTAGTTCAGTTCTAGTTCAGTTCTAGTTCAGTTCTAGTTCAGTTCTAGTTCAGTTCTAGTTCAGTTCTAGTTCAGTTCTAGTTCAGTTCTAGTTCAGTTCTAGTTCAGTTCTAGTTCATTCTAGTTCAGTTCTAGTTCAGTTCTAGTTCAGTTCTAGTTCAGTTCTAGTTCAGTTCTAGTTCAGTTCTAGTTCAGTTCTAGTTCAGTTCTAGTTCAGTTCTAGTTCAGTTCTAGTTCAGTTCTAGTTCAGTTCTAGTTCAGTTCTAGTTCAGTTCTAGTTCAGTTCTAGTTCAGTTCTAGTTCAGTTCTAGTTCAGTTCTAGTTCAGTTCTAGTTCAGTTCTAGTTCAGTTCTAGTTCAGTTCTAGTTCAGTTCTAGTTCAGTTTGTTCTAGTTCAGTTCTAGTTTAGTTCTAGTTCAGTTCTAGTCAGTTCTAGTTCAGTTTTACTTCAGTTCTAGTTCAGTTATAGTTCTGTTATAGTTCAGTTCTAGTTCAGTTCTAGTTCAGTTCTAGTTCAGTTCTAGTTCAGTTCTAGTTCAGTTCTAGTTCAGTTCTAGTTCAGTTCTAGTTCAGTTCTAGTTCAGTTCTAGTTCAGTTCTAGTTCAGTTCTAGTTCAGTTCTAGTTCAGTTCTAGTTCAGTTCTAGTTCAGTTCTAGTTCAGTTCTAGTTCAGTTCTAGTTCAGTTCTAGTTCAGTTCTAGTTCAGTTCTAGTTCAGTTCTAGTTCAGTTCTAGTTCAGTTCTAGTTCAGTTTAGTTCAGTTCTAGTTCAGTTCTAGTTCAGTTCTAGTTCAGTTCTAGTTCAGTTCTAGTTCAGTTCTAGTCAGTTCTAGTTCAGTTCTAGTTAGCTCTAGTTCAGTTCTAGTTCAATTCTAGTTCAGTTCTAATTCAATTCTAGTTCAGTTCTAATTCAGTTCTAGTTCAGTTCTATCTCAATTCTAGTTCTCACCTGCAATGAAGAATTATTATTGTTCTTTAAGAATTGAACAAATCTTGGAACTATACCCTTTTGTATGACTTCTTCAATGGGTGGATTTGGATCTCTAGATAATAATTTGCGAAACTTTTGTGTGGCATCCAATTGTACACTTTCGATTTCACTGTATAAAGCATCAATCATTTCTTTTTTAATCACGGTATTCGTTTGCTGTTGTTGTGGTGAAATGTAAACATTTGGTTGCTGCTGCTGTTGTTGTTGCTGATGGTTAAGCACAGTTTGAGGTATATGTTGGTACTGTTGTTGTTGTTGCTGTTGTAGTTCAGAATTCTTAGATAAATCCAAACCTTCGGTTGGTGTTAAAATATCATTGGGAAGTTGAAGCATTTCAGATTCCTAAATAATATTAAAAAAAAGTGGTGAAATTTTTAATTTTATGGAAGTTTTAAGGGAGTTACCTGCATAATATCATTATCCATGTTATTTAATAGGGCGCTATTAGGATTTTCCAAAACCACATTGCGTCTTTTGGTGAGCTGTTGCTCACGTTTTTGTTTGCGTATTTGAATGCCCTCCTCCTCGCGTCGTCTACGCATTTCGGAAGAGTCCAGTCCAGCATTTTTATAGCGATGCCTATGTGTAGTGGACATTTCTGGGAATAAAATAACAAAACTTTAAAGTACATATAACTTTTTTAACCCACGAGGGTGTGGTTAATGGTGTTAACTGCGTTATAAATATTTATTTTTCTTTATAAAATTCCTAATTAGGTGTGAGTTAAAGATGTTTCCTGTTTAAAAAATGCTTTTGTTTCTAAATCAATTACCACAACTTTTACTTTTCTTTGATTAAACAATCAACTTTTCTTTACGTTATTCGACCAGTAAAGAGGCAGGCAGGCGGTTAGTCGTTAGGTCGGTTAATTAAACAGCCAGTCAAAGAGACAGACATGCATTTCTCATATTTTGACACTTTACACCCGACACATCACTGCATAACCATTTAAGCAGCCAACCCATTGACTTGCCATCATCACATTTACTTGAAAGTGCATACTCTTCCCACCTGCACATACCCCTTTCCAAAAAATATGATACACCTTACCAATACATCGACAGAAAAATACTTTTTTTCTTCTTTTCTGCTCTCACATTCACTTATAAAACACACGTTTTCTTAAAACTTCTTGCTTTTAATAATTGTTGTCTAAACAATTTGAATTTTTTATTAAAATCAAGGAACAGCTGTTAATAGGTAAATAATTAATATTAAAAACACGTACCTAATTTAAATAAATTTTGTGCAGAAATTGTTAATAAAAATTTTTGTTAAATGAAAAAGTTTTTTTTTTTTATTTTTTACTTTAGTGTTGGAAAGTGAAAAATGTAATAAATGACAGCGTAGTAAAAATTAGTATGGTGGTGTGAACAGGGTTGTTTTTGCTTAGAGTTGTAAAATTAGGTACTCATAGTTTTAAACATCTTGTAAACAAACAGGATTCTCTGTCTAGCCGTCAAAGTATTTTAATAAAACTACACAGTTAATAAGAAATTTATGGAATTTGAACTAAAAATCTTTACTTTCTAGCAATTTTAAATTATATAAATTTAATAAATTATTACTTTTTCCCATTTACAACTTTTTATTACAGCATGCCCTTGGTAACGCCCGACATTTCTCCCTCTTTACACGAGCTAATTGATTTCTATAAGGATTTGCAAAAACAATTAGAAGATTGTCCAGATTCCGTTGCTCCCGCAGAACGCAAACAAGAAATAATGAACTTATTACATGAATTTAATGATGTTAAAGATGCTGCCCAAATCGTTATAGGCAAATTGGCCAATATGCAGGGTAAAACTATAAAAGAATTGCATTTGGAGTATAACTTACCCTTAAATGAATAAAATATTAAATCATTAAAAATTTATAGTTCAGGTTCAATTGTAATTAAGCTCTAATTCAATTGGAATTTTTTCTACTAGATATGTTCGAGGTTTAGTTTTAGTTTAGTGGACGTTCAGATCAGGATCAGATGCAATTCATTTTCGTATCAGTTCGTCCTGGATCAGTATTAGTTTTGTATCTGGATAAATTCTATATCATTTCCAATTTAGTTCTGAATCGGTTACAATATATTTTTGGATCATAGCTAGGTTAGTTCTAGATCTGTTCCTTATTTAGTTCCAGATAAATTCTAATTCTTTAGGACGTATCCAAGTTCGCCTTTGCGATAGATCATTATGAGTCCATTTCTATTTTACTTTTAATTCAATTCCACACTACATTTATAAAGCAGCAGTTTAATGGAAAAATTTAAGCCTGCTTATTATGTGTCATAAAAATAACGGTTAAAACTGAAATGTCAACATTACAGTTTATTCAAAACAATTTTTGTTCTCAATAAAAAAAAACCGTTCACAATTTCTCCGGAAATAAATGTTTTTTTAATGGTAACAATAACATTTTAAACTTATGTTCTTAATTAAATCAATATGTATATAAAAACAACTGTATTGTGAATTGCTTTCCCAAAAATTACATAAGCAAATTAAAAAAATGCAAACTTTATAAAGTTCAAATTGTACTTAGCACAAGAAACATTAAATGAAAAAAGTTTGAAACGGTATTAAAAGTAGCTAACTACAGGTTACAAAAATAAACCCTTTAATCTCTATGAAAAAATAGGTGGCTCATAAAGCTGAAGCACCAGCTCTAAAATATAAACGGCAGCGTTCATTGAACGCCTTGTAAGAGCGTTCTTTAACAATATCCTCCACATTTAATTCGGATTGTAAGACGCGCAACTTTCTTTGTTCCGACTTAAATTTCTTATCCACTTCCATATCATCAGGCTGGGATTCACGTTTTTCTCGTAGACTTTTTAGAGATTCGGCCGATAGCATTATACAACTGCGTATGGCTTCCTCACGTTGCTTGTGTCCAGTTTGTAATTTGGAATATAAATCTTTGCAGGTCTTCTCGCCATCCACTTGACCTTTGAATGATTCCGTAGGCAATGAGGTATTTAGGGCATAAATTATTTTATCATCAATATCACGCATCTTCTTGAGAGCATCCTATATAATACAAAAAATATATTTAGGCGGTTGTTTGCAAATTCTTCACTTGTATCCCAAAAAAAACTCACTTGGAAGCCTAGAAAATCTTGACAGCTATAGGAAATGGCCATATTTTATTTATAATTATTAATATTTTTCTAAATGTGTTACAAAATTGCAGCAGAAAAAAAATTGGAAAAAAACAGAACAACAGCAGTAGTAAAAAATTATGCCGACAAAAGTGACATTTCTTGTATTATCAGTGTAAATACATAACCTCAAAATATACATAGTTGCATTTTACAGTTTGAGGGTCATTGAAAGGAGAAAAACGAAACAAAATAGGTCGTTTAAGAAATAAAATAATAAAATGTAACGGAATTTTTCAATTGTTAAATTTTGGTAATTTACTTGTTTCTATACAATTTCTGTTCAGTTATAGTTCAGTACCAGTTCTGGTTCAGATCTAGTTCAGTTTTAGTTCAGTTCTGAAACAATTCCGTCTCAGTTCGTCAATTCCATTTTATCCCTACTTCAATTCCGTTTTGTTTCCCATTCAAATACATGTCATTCATATTTCAATTCCACACGTTCAGCAATATCCATTTCTGTAAGAGATCTTTAAATAAATTACTTTTTAGATAGTTTTATATATTAATGTGTGTATTTTTATTTTGAAACCTAAATAGATGTTTATAATCATAAATAACAAGCGTTAATATGTAGGTATGTAGTTGTTTAATTAAAAAAATGTCCAATAATTGTTGTTCTTATTAAAATAACATTAAATGAAAGTAATAAAACGAATAACTTGGAGCAAAACAAAACTTTACAAGAGTTGTTCCAGTTCTTGCCAGATTTGCCGCTGCTTTTTGTAATTACAAAACAACATTAAATTTTAGTTCAAATGTAAACTAAATTACACACCTTAGTTAAATGACTTAAACACCAATTATATATTATTAAAAATAATTTTGCAAATTATAAATCGAAACAAAATTAGGGTAAGTGGTGTAAAACAAATAGCAGAAAAAAAGGATTTATAAAGTAATTATAATTAAAAATATAGAAAAAAGTCTTTAATTAGTAACAGCAGAACCACTGCCCAGCGATTTCATTAACTGATAACATTCTTTTAGTTTACGCTTATCACCAACGCGCTCCAAAGTTTTAGCAGCTTCCGCCAACATGCCAGCACGTTCACCGGGCGAACATAACAAAGCAGAGGGTAAATATTTGCAAGCCACATACATGGCAGCGGCTCTTTCACGTTCACCGCCCTCAAAATTATGATTCTTATCTTTGCCACCACAAATAATCGATGAGCGGGCATGTTTGAAATGTAAACTACGATCTAGCAGTTGTTGTGTTGGGCCGGGAGAGGCTCCGGCCATTAAACGGCAAACAGCTTCGTACAAATAAATACGTGACTGGCCGCTCTATAAGTAATCGTATATTAATAAAGATCTTAATAATTCTGTTGCCAAACTTACTGGTATATCCTCGACTATACTTCTTAGAGAATTTAAATCTTTTTGGAATTTTTCCAAAACATCACCGGGCACTTGATAATAACCATCATCATCCATACACATATATTCCGACTCCCATATCTGGGTACGTGTCTCTAGTATCCAATCGCATGTCAGCAATTGGAAAAGCTATTTAACAATTTAAAATGTTAGGTTTTAAGAAAAATATTTTAAATTTTGGTTAGTAGTTTTTTCAAAAACACCTTTTCCAACACGTTGCTTTTAATATTAACAAAGTTTGCATTGCAGAAGTATTGTTTGAATTTTTATTATAACTTACAGACAATGCGACTACAATGCACCTTCGTTTAATATCATTATTTTCTTTTAATGTTCTAGAATCTAGATAAAAGTGATAGGTTTGAAAGGAACTTACCAATTTAATGCCCTTGGTATTTGTTATTTTGTTAACGGTTAAACATTCTTGCAAATAAGCACTTGATTCATCACATATATTCATTAGAGTTTGTTTGTCACGATATTCCAAATCATTGCCATTGAAGCTAAAAGAAAATGTATTGATATCAAAATATCTTCCGCCTAAATTGTTAGTTTAATACAGTTCAGTTCTAGTTCAGTTCCAATTCAGTTCTAGTACTGTTCTAGTTCAGTTCTAGTTCAGTTCTAGTTCAGTTCTAGTTCAGTTCTAGTTCAGTTCTAGTTCAGTTCTAGTTCAGTTCTAGTTCAGTTCTAGTTCAGTTCTAGTTCAGTTCTAGTTCAGTTCTAGTTCTGCTCTAGTTCCAGTTCAGTTCTAGTTCAGTTCTAGTTCAGTTCTAGTTCAGTTCTAGTTCAGTTCTAGTTCAGTTCTAGTTCAGTTCTAGTTCAGTTCTAGTTCAGTTCTAGTTCAGTTCTAGTTCAGTTCTAGTTCAGTTCTAGTTCAGTTCTAGTTCAGTTCTAGTTCAGTTCTAGTTCATTCTAGTTCAGTTCTAGTTCAGTTCTAGTTCAGTTCTATTTCAGTTCTAGTTCAGTTCTAGTTCAGTTCTTGTTCTGTTCTAGTTTTGTTCTAGTTCAGTTCTATTTCAGTTCTAGTTCAGTTCTAGTTCAGTTCTAGTTCAGTTCTAGTTCAATTCTAGTTCAGTTCTATTTCAGTTCTATTTCAGTTCTAGTTCAGTTCTAATTCAGTTCTAGTTCAGTTCTAGTTCAATTCTAGTTCAGTTCTATTTCAGTTCTATTTCAGTTCTAGTTTAGTTCTAGTTTACTTCTAGTTTACTTCTAGTTTAGTTCTAGTTTACTTCTAGTTCAGTTCTAGTTCAATTCTAGTTCAATTCTAGTTCAATTCTAGTTCAATTCTAGTTCAATTCTAGTTCAGTTCTAGTTCAGTTCTAGTTCAGTTCTAGTTCAGTTCTAGTTCAGTTCTAGTTCAGTTCTAGTTAAGTTCTAGTTCAGTTCTAGTTCAGTTCTAGTTCAGTTCTAGTTCAGTTCTACTTCAGTTCTACTTCAGTTCCAGTTCAGTTCTAGTTCAGTTCTAGTTCAGTTCTAGTTCAGTTCTAGTTCAGTTCTAGTTCAGTTCTAGTTCAGTTCTAGTTCAGTTCTAGTTCAGTTCTAGTTCAGTTCTAGTTCAGTTCTAGTTCAGTTCTAGTTCAGTTCTAGTTCAGTTCTAGTTCAGTTCTAGTTCAGTTCTAGTTCAGTTCTAGTTCAGTTCTAGTTCAGTTCTAGTTCAGTTCTAGTTCAGTTCTAGTTCAGTTCTAGTTCAGTTCTAGTTCAGTTCTAGTTCAGTTCTAGTTCAGTTCTAGTTCAGTTCTAGTTCAGTTCTAGTTCAGTTCTAGTTCAGTTCTAGTTCAGTTCTAGTTCAGTTCTAGTTCAGTTCTAGTTCAGTTCTAGTCTAGTTCAGTTCTAGTTCAGTTCTAGTTCAGTTCTAGTTCAGTTCTAGTTCAGTTCTAGTTCAGTTCTAGTTCAGTTCTAGTTCAGTTCTAGTTCAGTTCTAGTTCAGTTCTAGTTCAGTTCTAGTTCAGTTCTAGTTCAGTTCTAGTTCAGTTCTAGTTCAGTTCTAGTTCAGTTCTAGTTCAGTTCTAGTTCAGTTCTAGTTCAGTTCTAGTTCAGTTCTAGTTCAGTTCTAGTTCAGTTCTAGTTCAGTTCTAGTTCAGTTCTAGTTCAGTTCTAGTTCAGTTCTAGTTCAGTTCTAGTTCAGTTCTAGTTCAGTTCTAGTTCAGTTCTAGTTCAGTTCTAGTTCAGTTCTAGTTCAGTTCTAGTTCAGTTCTAGTTCAGTTCTAGTTCAGTTCTAGTTCAGTTCTAGTTCAGTTCTAGTTCAGTTCTAGTTCAGTTCTAGTTCAGTTCTAGTTCAGTTCTAGTTCAGTTCTAGTTCAGTTCTAGTTCAGTTCTAGTTCAGTTCTAGTTCAGTTCTAGTTCAGTTCTAGTTCAGTTCTAGTTCAGTTCTAGTTCAGTTCTAGTTCTAGTCCAGTTCTAGCTCAGTTCTAGTTCAGTTCTAGTTCAGTTCTAGTTCAGTTCTAGTTCAGTTCTAGTTCAGTTCTAGTTCAGTTCTAGTTCAGTTCTAGTTCAGTTCTAGTTCAGTTCAAGTCAGTCCTTTTGCTTTTAAAACTTACCTCATCAATATTGTCTTGGCCTTTAATATGGTATGCAACGCTTTCGGCAACTGATCTCCACTCTCAGCCAATTGTTTGGGTAATATTTTTACAGTTTCCAAAAGATTTTCCGCCAAAGTATCCTCTCCCAATAGCCAGTGTACAGCAATTTCCAAAACACTTGTCCACCATTCTATATTAATATCATTATTCTCCTCTGACAAAGTGTCACGCAATAGTGAAGTATATTTTAAAACATTGCTGACCATAGTACCGGGTGGTGCTGCTGCTGTTGCATTAGAATCTGTCGTCGTTTTATTTTTGCCACCTTGTGATTTATGACTGCCCGAACCCAAAAGACATTGTATGGCTTTTGTTAGTAAATGTTCACGATAATGTTGAACCACATATGACATGGGATCCGCGGGATTGCTGAGCGTGGCAAATAGTGTATTTGTATTGGGATTTTCTTTTTCATTTTCCACAAAATCAAAATTGTGTGTAATAAAATAACGATAACCATATGAAGTGAATAGCCAGTGGGTATCTTTGGTTTGTTCACGTATTTTGCTATTTTCATTTTTCGCACGACTAATGAAATAACGACCAAAGAATTTCAAATATTTGGGATAACTGCGTTTGACTCTCAAAGCTGAAGTGATAAATATACTGGCCAATTCGTGTGGTGTGAGTAGAGAGGCAGCTACCTCGGTCATATTGATGGCGTAAAGTGACATAACCAAACCATGAGAATCATTTATTTTCGAGGTTAGATGTAATTGATTTAAGCGATTGAAAATTAAAGCCAATTCTCGAGCCGAAGCTAAAGCTTCCTTACGTTGTTCTTCACTACAAAATAGGCCGCCGGCTTTGCGTGACAACATACGACCCAACCAGATGCGATGAAAGAATAAACGTATAAATTGCCAAGTAGTTACCGAAAAGGATTCCAAACGTGTCGAGGGCAAGGAAATGCCAAAGATTTGTAAGCAGCGTAGATACTCATTGTAGGCATTTCGTGAATTTCCCTGAGGGGAAAAATAAATTGATTTTTATTTATATCAAAATTAGAAATTATTATTTCTAGTTCATTTCTAGTTCAGTTCTAGTTCAGGTCTAGTTCAGTTCTAGTTTAGTTCTAGTTTAGTTCTAGTTTAGTTCTAGTTCAGTTCTAGTTCAGTTCTAGTTCAGTTCTAGTTCAGTTCTAGTTCAT